GAATATTATGAAAGGAAAGAACATTATTCTTTGATTTAATGAACAATAAATATGACAATTAATTATTCTATGTATATTAACTACTCATTTATAATCTGTGATAAATACTTCTTCATAGTCACAATGAGAAATAACATATTTGTCCGAAATCATTTGAATAAAATGATTTATTATATTCATTAGGAAAATGTGACCTAATTGAATATCTATCTGGGTTACCTGTTCCTGTCATCTAGATATTTCGTCAACAAGTAATCTATATCCTTGTTTGTTTTAAACACATGATTATGGCTATTCATCGTATCACGTATTCAGGTGTGTATACAACCTTTTTTTGTACAAGTTACAAAGTCAGTCAGTCAGTCAGTCAGTCAGTAACAACGTAGAACTTCGTACGTACGTTCATCAGTTCAGGTTACCACACCACATTAGCACAGAGATGCAGTTGTCGATTCAAATCCCATAGCGGTAGAGGTAGTAAGAGTATAAGCAGTAGTTGGAAAGATTAGGGTTTGGAGATGTTATTTAAAGAGTATAATCCAGTGAAATAAATTTGGGAAGAGAAAAAAAGAGACAAGGAGGAATTAAGTTACAAAAAACTCAATTATTGACATCATGGTTGTTGGCAATATGTAGCGAAAAGAATGTACAGTATTTAGATATCGATTAACTGGACTGCTAACTTCTAACTGACAACCACTCAATATGTATTGCAAGGATTGATCAAGAAATAAGAAAAGGAAACTTGTTAAAATACTGTGTGTTGAGAATACTATATCGTTTCTTTTTAGTGAATTATTACAAACTGGATTAATAATGCAGACATTCTGTAGTGAATGTTGTGTGTTATTATGTCTGATATCTCAACTGCATAACACGGTTATTACGCAATAACATTCACTGATTAGAGGTAATTAATGGTTTCCTTTTATTGGAAATCAATTCAAGCCATTGAATCCCAGTCTGATATTATTATTATGTTTATTTATCGGAAATGTTTTTGAAAAGTTAATTCAAATACTAAATAATGATTTTAAGTCATTAAAGTTAATCAATAGAAAGCTTTGAATTTGTTCTTCATCCTAATTGGAACCTATCAAAGTAAGGCATAATCTGCAGTCTTGAAGAAACTGGATAAACGTGAAAACATCCACTGATTAAGAGAACAATTTTAATCGTTTACATAATGAAATAATTTGATTGGGTCGTGAATGTACATTTCCGAGAAGTCTGATATATTAGAATGAAACGGATGTCTAGTGCTTCGTGATTCTCGAAGTTTGTCTAATTAAAGCCGATTCGTGATGTAACCTATAAAGATATCTCATGTGAATTCGACTTTCAATTTTCATGTTATGTGTTCTTTATATCTTTACTGTTTGCAGGTTATCGCAAATATCCCTCAGTTAACCAGAACAGGAGATATTATAATGATGAAATAAAAGATGAGTAATTGTTATATAAACTGTTATATGTATATCTATCATAAATAAACTGATTTTCCATGAACAAATAGTTCATATCTTTCAGTTTTTTTTCGGTGAAATTTTCAGTACTTGGATCCCAGAGCTATTGCCTATTCCGGAACTCGGGTCCAGTACCTTTCTCTTTAGACTCCATCGTATTATCTACTAGGCTACTGAGTCTAGATGACCACTGTGAACATGTGTTTCATTCTATTTATGACTTATCAGTTGGATGTACTTACATCCCAGAGTTAATGTCCACTCCACAACTCCAACCCAATATCAATTCAACTGAACTAAAATTCACCTAGTTGTACAATCCAGTGGTCATCTAGACTCAGTAGCCAAGTGGACAATACGATGGCGTCTAAAGAGGAAGGTACTGGGGTCCGAGTCCCGAAATAGGCATCAACTCTGATGACCGGTGAGCTACCACTCTACTGAATGTAGAAAGTGAAAATGGAGAGAAAGATATTAACTCCTACTAATTACAATACATGTAATTTGTTGGTTTGCTTAGTCGGTTAACCAGTATGAGTTCAATGTGTGACATAACACAGCATGGACGTAAGTACTGCCAATCTAATTGACAATTATCAAGTAGAATTGGATTTATTCTCCAGCTGAATTACATACCGATTAAATAAAAATGTGAACTTTTCTAAGATTAATGATGTTGGTTATGTTTGCACATTTTATAATACATTCCCTCAATACTCAAGTATGTAATTTTGTATATTTTATTATATTACTTACTAAGAGTCAGTAATTTATGAATTGATATATATTTTTAAGAATATAACGGATAATTTGCCTTCGTTTTTTGTGTGAATGAATAGAGATGTTTATCATGTGTAACTATATTGCTTTGTAGACAAATCCTTTGAATTCCTTTTGAATATAGCACACGATTCAACAGTTTGATTTGAATCCTTGTATGAGTTAAGCAAATAGCTTAAATGGTCCTTTCAATTTCGTAAAAAAACACCCCTGGTGCGAGAAGTCAGTGAGTAGGACTTCCCTGGCAGAAGCTGTATACGAGTGACAATTTGAGAGCATTTGAAGAGACAGAGAGCGGACTCTACCCACTCTCGACCGAACTAGGACATTTGGGGGCACGAAATCCACTCATCTATTTGGATACGTAGTTTTGGTAATATAGCTGATGTTAGCTAGTGATGAAAATCCTAAATCTGATTTCTAACCTTAACCATCAACTGTAAATCATAATTCCCATTCCTCACACAGGTCCATATCTCTCATTTGGTCCTGATTATTGAGTGGACATTCTTAAAGTCACTTTAGCGTCGCTCAAACGTCGTCCATAAATTATAATCTCACCATGAATCTTAGCTACTAGGACATATTTACGGATTATTATTACATATATTCCTATTAGATAACTATTAAATAACTATATTCATATTCCTTTTATTAGAAGTTTCCATTTGACTTATTGACTACTACCATTCGACTTACTATTCTCGAGTTTTTCACAAATTACTAATTACAGTCTTTCACAATCACAGTCACTTTTTCACTTGATCTTGTAATGATTGTTACTTTCTATTTTATGCAAATAATGTGGTCTGTTTTGTTTGTATATAATGAACTGAATATATGTGAAATAAATGATTTGTGCAGTGGAAGCTGATATTGGTGTTTGTTCTGGTCTGAACCAGTTGGGTTAGGCATGAATCTACTATCTCGGAAAACCAATAAGAACTCAGAGTTTACTCGAGATTGCTCGTACTGGTTAGACATAGGGCGAAAGTCGTATAAGTCGGGTGGTTCTGATTGATGATTTAGTTACTTGATAATTAACAGGGCAAAACTCATAACAATTACTTATGATACAAGAAAGAATAAATGAACAAATAACAAACAACAACACAAACCTGTAAATATACACCGGGATCCACAAGTGCTAGATGTAAACAACGTTGAAATGGTGGATTTAATCGACGACGAATAGATAATGCTAACTGTGAATGAATTGATGAATCATCATCAGTGAATGATAGTGAATGAATGTTGTTTTCAATAATGGATGGACCATAGAAAACTTCATGCAATGGTAATTGATTAAATGATGGAATTAATTCATTTAATTTTAATTGTATCCAATTTAAAAATTCTTTACGTGTTATATCCCATTGAGTTTTGTGAATAGTTGAAGTGATGGCAGATAAAGGACGATTCGGTGAAGAAGTTGCATATTCTTGAAGATGCTAATAAAATATTCAACAACAGAAAATGATGAATAATAATCTTTATTATCTACAAGAAAAAAAATACATTTTGTATTGTTTGTTTGAGTCTTCCCATTGGTGTGTATAGGACTGCGATTGATCAATCGCTATTATTGATATATGTATATCCTGTGCAGATTGCTCCGATATTATCCACGACTAAACTTATACATTGATAATGTTGAATTACCTGAGCTGAATGGCCTAGTTGCAATGTTATTATTATATTATTTTAACACATAGATATTGGTACAAGGAGGCACCAAATACATATGCGCCACACAAATCTCATTCGATATGTGTGAGAGCTGTGATACTGCCCGAGTGCCCAAACCGAAACAGGTGGTTTTCTTAGGGGGCCACACATGGAGCCTTCGACATGAAGGTCTGATCCACAAGGCAGTGGAGCATCGTAAGGAGATGCAGTCCCATGGTAGCCAGTGACCAACAATTGGTTCATACGCCATTTGTGCCCGCAGGATACTGGAGTCCATGTGCACCACTGTTTTGGAATCCGCTTAAAGCGCCGAACATTCGCTTTTCGTCCTCCCATTCTCGTAAACAACACCCCCGCCACGAGAAGGCAATGAGTAGGACTTCCCTGACAGAGGCTATATACGCGTAGCCATGTGAGAGCATTTCGAGAGGGAGAGCAGACTCTCCCCACTCTCGGCTGTACCAGGGCGTTTGGGGGCTTCCGTTGCAACCCTTGAAAACAATTTCATTCATGCCTATTTTGTGTAGAAATGAGCTTGTTAGTGACCCACTCCACAAGCATTAAACCATTACAAAATCAACTTCATAAACCAGGAAATAAACATACCTATCATGTGTGTAAGACATTTTAGATATTAATATGAGGAGTTTTGACCTATTTGGAATCAATGTCGCTTAAAAATCAAAGCAATCACTTTATTCAGTTTTATACAGATCAGAAAGTAAAACAGTTTGAAGATAAATCTAACATCACCTACAAAATAAATTATATAAACTGTGAAGAACAACTACATAATGAATAGACTAGACATCCCCTTCATTTGGTCAAACACAAACATCAAGTAACAGTAAAACTACACAAAATATTATCACCGATATCAATGTATATAAATAATCACAAACATGAATTTGAATGGGAAAGCCTCAGAATTCAAAATAAAAAGAATACTAAGAAAGTCATACAGTTTCTAGAAGTATATGTTTTAGATCATTAAGCAGTCAACAGGTCACTGACTATAGATCCGATCTATCAATCCATATGATAAAGGTCAATCAACCACATGATCAGAGGTCAACCATACAAGTTATTTAACAGGAACACAAGGATAAATGTAGATTTTAAAAATATATATGAAAACAGCGAATCCCAAATAAGACCACAAGAATGAACTGATTTAACACTTGTGCACTATAACTAGGAAGTTCACATGATGTAGGTATAATTTACATCGATTAGAACGAAAATAAAAGCTCCACAAGTGAACCACCTAGTTTAAAGAACTTTATCACATTAAAAAACCATTATTATTCATTGTAAAATGTTATATCATCAACAACTGTGATAACATTTCTGTCTCCTTTTACGCAATTGTATAGTCAGCAACAATAAATGCATAGTTTAGAATCAATACAAAACACATCCACACTGGGATAACACATCACATGCGAAAAAGAAAAAACGTGATCAAACCATTAAAGTGAACTTTAAGCAGAGATGGATAGTGGCTAACAGTAGAATTCAGGATACACATTTAATCTTATTTGAAACTTGTCAGCCGGAAGTGAATGTTTCAAGATTAGTCTAATCAATTAATAATCAACTGATATAATGTAGTAGTACATAGTTATTGATGATACAAAGTAAATAATAAGATGAAACTACCACTAACCTGACGTAAATTACGTAAACTTATCTTTCTTTTTGTATTGAATTCAACGGGTTTAACTGGTACAGTATCCTGATTATTGAAAGAAGTCGCAGCTGTTATTGTCAACGTGTCATTATCGGTAGACTGTTCTTGATGGCACTGTGACAGTTGTTTATTCGTCGATGCTTCTTGATTTAGTAAGTGGAAACAAACGAAAAAGATGTTGATGTAACTGGAAAATTTTCAAAGTATAATAAACATATAGTCACTAGTGAATAGTAAGTAACAACCAATATGGCGTTTGCCTAAATCCTTGATGGATTAAAGACTAGGCCCTCGAATGCCCTGGTATGGTCGAGAGTGAGGATAGTCAGCTCTCCCTCTCAAAATTCTCTCACATGACTAAGCGTATACAGCTACTGTCAGGGAAGTCCTACTCACCGCCTTCTCGTGAGTATTGTTTACGAAATTGAGAGGATGAAAAGTGAATGCTTAGCGCTTTAACAAGGTAAGTGGACACAGAGGGTTCACCTAGGGGAGTTAGAAAACCCTGATTCAAAACCAATGGTGAACATAGGCTTCAGGATCCTGAGTGAAAAAATGGCGTATGAACCAATCCTTGGTCACCGACTACTATGAAATTGCATCTGCTCGCCACACCCCGAGCCTTTGACCTAGAGGTCTAAACCACAAGGCAGTGTAGCAATGTTAGGATATGCATTCCCATGGTAACCGGTGGCCAACACTAGGTTCATACGCCATTTGTCCACTCAAAATCCTGGAGCCCATGTTTATCATTGCTTTTGAATCAGGGTTTTCCAACTCCTCTAGGTAGGCCCTCCGTGTCCACCAACCCGGTTAAAGTGCCAGACATACCAAATTAGAATGATAAAATGAAATTGGAAAGACAAATATTAAAAGGTATAGAAATAATCTGATAACTATGATAGTGAAAAACGCTAAACATTGAAAAGTATGCATAAAAGAGCATAGATCAAAATTTAAAAGCCGTTCAAAGAGTGAATACATCTACACCATTGTGAATGATTGTGAACCATGAAACCCAACTTTCCCAACCACTGATTGTGGTTATGCTGCAGACTTCAAATAAGTAGTCTGAGTTCACCAACATGGTTCAGATTAACAGTCAATGACTCTATAATCTGACCTCACATATAGGTTTGGACCCCTCCAAACTTTCTCTTTATCTGCTTCTACAAATTTCAAGTGAAAACAATAAACATTTTGCTATTTTTCAAACAACATGTGCGAAAATGCATGATTTCTCCAAAATTCGACTTAACCAAAAAACAGAGATTTTTATAATAATTATCATTTGGGATTTTTAGACTGCACGCGTACTGTTGAACAAAGCGCTACAAAACTGGCATCAGGAATGACTGATCTTCAACAATATATTACAATGTTTTATAAATATCTACATATCCTCACCTATATCATCGTTGATCGGAGGGAGGGAACAAACCATTTTCTCCAGGATATACATCTTAAAGCCAGTCACTAGTGAGCATATGTTGATTATTATCAGAAGGGGGTTTTGTGGAGATTTTAGTAATTTCAATTGTCGAGCTCTAGTGAGAAGCAGTGACCAGTGGAGTTCAACCGTCTCAGTTGTGAGATAGTAACTCATTGATGACAGTTATGGATGTGCCGCTCAATTTCGTGGATTGGTTGAGGTTAGACATTAACACCGTTGGATGCCGGCTCAGTACTCTAGTGGGTAAGTGCTCGCGCGCGAAACCAGTAGGTCTTGGGTTCGAATCCCGCGAGCGGGATCGCGGATGCGCACTGCTGAGGAGTCCCACAATAGAACGAAACGGTCTTCCAGTGCTTCCAGGTTTTTCATAGTGGTCTAGCTTCAATTGATTCATGATCTGAACAATTAAATAATTATTCTATCGATTCATTTTATTAATACAAGACCCACTTAACATTATTATTATTATTATTATTATTATTATTATTATAAATCTCAAAAATCCTCAAACATTATAACACACATATATATACACTTACCTTGACAAGCCATGGATAGTTTTGTATGCCAAGACAGGGTTGAGTCAGCTAAATTATTCAAACATTTTCTACCTTCTGATAAGGTAGACGACGACCACCATAGTGAAGTTGGATTTTGCGTCTGAATTAAAGAAGTAGATTCTTTCAGTAGATAATCATAAGCATCTTGTACAGAATTCAATAAATGTTCTTTGGGCACTCCACTAAACGTTTGAAGAGGTAGTGATGAAGGGAGAAGGAAGGAAATCAAAAACCATTAACTACAAGAAAAGTTTAAAACAAAATGTTTAAAAAAAAATTAAATAATTCTTCATGAGTGAAATTGTCAACTATCTGCACAGTGATAATCATCAAATGGTGAACAACACATCAGAATTCTTCCAAGTGTACGATTCGAATAACTGAATTTGTTTGTTGCCTTCAGTAATCTCGGGTACTGTTAGTTGTACGAAGGAGATTGTCACTTCCCAGTTGTCCATATTGTGAAGTGATATCGCTTCTTTAGGCATCAGAAAACGAAACTGGTTATGACAGACAACGGAAGGCAAACTATAATATTAATTTTTTACAGTTCAACACAATTCAGTAAACATATACAGGCTTGCGTATGTGATAGGCAGCTAATATTACTACGATCAAAACAGGTGAAGTATAGCACCAACTAACCGATAACTCACTAGTTAAAGGTCAAACATCTTAATCGCATTAGATCGTCATCATCATCAGTTAATTTATATTAACATCAGTACAATTAGAACTGTAAACAAAAGATATTTAGGAGAGAATTGTCGAAGATATTTCTCTACATCATATAAAGATGATATTGTTACAGCTTACCCTAGAAGATTGATTGTCAAGTTGAATTCTTCTGCATTGACTAAACCATTTTTCAACCATAAACGGTATAAATCTCCAATCTGTAAAAAAAATCATTGAGATGGTGTAGAAGATTCGTGGCTCAGGTAGATGATAACAGCTGTGAACTACTGTACAGTATACTCATCCTTCAGTAGATTACAGGATAATCCATCTGGATTGTAAGGTGATTGACAGTAGGCGATAAGATATCCTAGACTTAAGCTTTAAACAAGTTGGCACTCGTCCATAAAATATACCTACTCTATGTGGTATTTGAACTCGGGGCATTCAGTTTTATGGTTTAAAACGTTAGCATTCAGTTAGTAAGATGTTAACTGACCACTGAATCGGATTGTCAAATCGACATTTTTTCTACTAGTGAGTAGCAGCTGACGAAACTCCATTATTTAAATCACAATGCGTCCACTAGTTTTAGTAACTTATTGCATGGAGTGTGTTTCCATGTTTAATAACTAGTAGTGTGGTGTGAGCTACTTATATCCATATAAGTAGTATGTAACGTTAGTTACGAATATAATGTATTTCAGCAGATGATCGAGAAGGAAAGAACGGGAACGGAAAGCAATTGGTATAAAAATGCAGGGACAATGAAATCTGAAAGGATGGACTGATATTTGCAAAAGAAACAGGCAAGTTTGAGACAACTGATTGATATTCTGCAAATCAAGTATTTACTGTATGGTTCTCAGATCTTAGTGAGATGCTCTGTAATTTCATGTTCAAGTACATTCAATTGTCCCCACTCGTGTTCTTTTTCACTACAGTATTGGTTACCAGAGGATTATGGATATAAACTTTGTTATATCAGAAGACCGATAAGGACTCAAGGTTGCTAGTGCTGTTTGACGCATCATTGGTGTCAGATAGGAACAGGGTCACAGAAGTCGGTACTCTAATTAGCGAGTTGTCACGTGATATTTGATGGGTCACAAGAAAATTAAGGTCATGCGGTAAGTTGTCGAGAATCAGAGTAATTATTTGATCATTCAACGTACGGAGTTGTCTTCAGGGTCCTTGTACGACATTATTTACTACTTAGTCCTTCAGTTTTTTTAATTACTTACCTGAATCAGGCAGAAAGAAAACCACTATTATGGAGCAAATGCAGTAATTTCTTTAGCAACAGCAGAAGTGATTTTTAGCTTCGCAAGAACAGATACTTACATCATTTATGTCGAAATTCCAGCGCAGTCTAAATGAGTCTCAGAACGTAAAGAAATAGAAACGTCACTTAATTCAGTCCTAGAATTTGTTTTTGATGCAGAAAGTGGACACACATTTGAGTCATGGTTTGCTAGAATCGAAGATCTTTTCCAAATAGAATATAAGGATATAGAGGAAACAAAGAAGGTAAGATCACTAACACTGAAAATTGGCTTACAAGAATACTTTAAATATAAAAATTCTATCGTGCCAAAACACCCAAGGGATTTGATTTTTGATAAAACCGTCGGTATTTTGAACAAGATATTTTGTGTACAAGCGTCGTTATTCCATATTCGTTATGAATGCCTCTAGTTAAAAAGGACGCTGATGAAGATTATCTGATATACGCAAACAGGAATAATTTACGAGCTGAACGTTTTAAATAAAATGCATTATCAAGTGACCAATTTAAAGACTTATTATTCGTTTTTGGACTACAATCTTTCACAGATGCCGATGTTAGAACTCGATTATTATCCCGTATTGAACAAGATGATGAAATGACATTAAAAACGATCACTGTATAGCGCAAAACAAAGACCATATAAATGATTGAAGCTTACATTTTTACCCAAAGGTCGAGCCGATAATGGTGTTATAATAATCAACAACCAATTCAATACATATGGAATTAAATATTGTAATTTTAAATGGTTTTCTAAATGTTCTACAATCTTGTTGACAAGTCTATGCGCTGTTTGTTGTGCAGTTTGTGGAGATGAGTTATTAACAATAGGAAGTGTAGGATGACTGACAGTAGGAGTTGAAGTTGTTGTATTATCCACAACACAATTTGCTAATGAAGGATAATCCAATGTGATAATTTTAGCTAAATCTCTAGAATTTATTGATGTCAGATATTTGTACGCTAACTCCGTTGATTGTAACAATTCAGGATGTGGTGTTTTCAAATAATGTTCTAACATGCAAAACTATAAACAAAAAGAAACAGGGAGTAGAAGATAGGATATTTGCTACTAAAGCTAAAGCATGGGGTATAATACAATACAGTCAAGCACACATGCATTAAAAATAAGCCATGAATAATGGCAGTGGAACAATGAATAATATACAACATAAAATATGTTAAGTAATAGAATGTTATATATTAAGGGACTAGGGTTTTGTTTATCAACAAATCTCACGTGAATTATTGGTGATTTTAATTAGCTGACAAAAGTTGACAGCAAATCCTGCGCCATTAAGAGTAGAAGACACTCGTAAGCTACTAGTATTTGACCACAGATGCTTTAGAACTATTTCTGGCATCTGCTGATATCACCGGGTAAGTAATAGTGAATTTTTCTAACAATAAATGCGGGAATCGGAACGAAGCAGAGCTCGGCACAAATGTTAATCGAAATAAAGCAAATGAAAAAGCCTATGTCACAAAAAAAAGTTGTGTTGACTTATATCTACAGGCACAAATCACAGTTAACTCACTGACCATAATCAGATAATGTGCATATCTTCCAATATATAAATTTTTAATACTTGAGATCATGATTCAATTGAAGCTAGACCACCATAGAAAACCTGGAAGCATTGAACGACCGTTTCGTCGGTGTATACATTGTTTATCCTCCATTAAACCATGAGATTAAAATTACTTTATATCTTTCTTTCTACGAACTAATTCTTTCTGCCTGTACTATATCTTCATACACAATTTTTTATACATAACTACCATTGAATTAACTACTTCTATGAATTCAGTGTTCATCTTGTTGTGCTAATGAGGTATGGAAACTTGGACCGATGTATATATGTGCCTGGTCCCACGTTGTAGCTGACTGACTGACAATGAAATACCAATTAATTCGAGCAGATACATTTCTACTTCATATGATTTATAGTTTAAGTGTAACATTCCCAAGCTCTTTATCTATCCAAACACACACGAGTACAGCCATATAGATACATTGATGTAACGCATTATAATCAAATACAAGTTTAGATACCGGTTTTTGAGGTACACTATTTTTGTGATAGCGAATGTTATTACTGAACAGTACAAACTAGAATAAGTAAATTGAGATAGAAATCCGTGATCATCTACAGTCTTATATATCAAACTGATAAAGAATGTTTAATTCAAATTCTCATCCGAACCCATACACACACACACACATACTCAAGGAATTAACTAATCAATAACAAAAGAAAACACTTTTAGGTCGAAAAAACCAAGATGAAACCAACTTTTAAACGTTGTAAGAAATTTTTCACCGAATAATCTAAACAGAGAAATAATCCATCCATTAAATAATTTAATACAGAATAAGTTGGATGTAATCCAGGAAATTGTATAATCTGAGAAAGTGAAGGTATAAGAAAAACACACCATTAGAATGGATAAGGGGAAAAGGTACAAATTATAATGATTATTATAATTACTATTACATGGATGTTATATCCCCATAAGAATAATGAATGGTAATTTTCGGGATCCATTTATGGACCAATACTGTGAGTATATTTTCATCGTGTAATTATTATGTAACTAGACTGTTCATATTCATGTCCCTGTTATTATGAGTTTTATTTTGACCTATGAACTATTATTATATCATTTACCGCTCCTGATGAGTAATAACCAGTCTATTAATTACGGTCTCACACATTCACAGTCACTTTTGGCCAAATATTGTACAAATGTTAATTTCTATTTTATGGTACGTTGTGGTCTGTTTGATTGATATGTAAACCTCGTATGTTTGAAATACAGGATTCATATTGCAGAGGCTGAGATTGGTGTTCTGGACTTAACAGGCAGGGCTAAGCGGGAAGCGAGACCAATCAGGACTCTAGGCTGCTTGCACGTGTTTTATGCATCACTGGTTCGATCGATATTTCGCTGCCCTCTGATTGGTGTCGTTGCGTTATACAATAAACAGGGCACACAGGTTCACAAGTTATAACAATGGAATTGTTAAATTAACCAAGAAAAAGAATTGAACGATGTCAATAATTAGATAAGGGTTTATGTACTCAACTTTGAGCTATCAGTTGCTTGTGTGTGTGTGTGTGGGTATTTATGGGTTAGTCATGTTACCCGATTGCCCTAGCCGAAGTGTGCAATGAACGACAACTTAGTTGGGGACAACCAATTTATTGTTTAATACAAAATTACACAATTCTTTCGTCAAATGTGAAAACAATACATTAAATACGTAATTTGTAAATCCTTCATCAATTGTTTTAAACTTCATCGTTTCTTTATTGTTATTACAATTACTCTGTTTACATTTCTGCGCTCTTTGATTCGATCTTCTGAACCTTCTGATTCCAGGCATTCAATTTCTAATTGGTTTTACATACTACTTATGTCTGTTAACATAAGTAGCATATACCACAAGTCAGTCAGTTATAATCAACTTACAGCCTGTCATAAATATGAGTTAGCCTAAGTTGTCATACCATACCAGCACGAGACAAATAATAAGATGAATAATAAATATATCGAAATAACAGCACTTTCATCCATATCCAAAAAGACTAAACGTTGGAAATATGATTCAAAAAAACTATGAGAATGTATCAATGAAGAAATAGAGGAATTAAAGATTTGCAGGAAGATAAAGAGTAAATCTGTCTGTGTCACTATGACAGATTCTGAATCATTTCACACGTTTTCAACTATCGGTTGTTGTAGTAAAAAGGTTAAATTTGTGACCAAAGGTCGAATCCATTAACCACAATACTACACAGCTCCTACTTTTTATTAAAATAGATTTTATTGAATCTTCTCAGTAGCAAAAGGTTATTTTTATCACGAATTTATATCAGCTAAAAAGATATTAAACACAAAGAGAGAGAACTGGATTGTTCCTTTTGTTTCAGTCTATAATTCTTCATGATAATGTGCATATTTATTTAACTTCGTCATAGACATGCCTTTAAGGACAATATATTCACCGTCTAACTTTTCAGGTATAGATCTTTTACCAGAATATTTACTTGTTGACTTAGAATACGCAGATGATATAGTTCTGTTTGGTGAAGACAATGACAAAAAGCAATCTTCTAACCACCTTAAGCAACAATGAAAGCATATTTGAGATGGAATTCTCCCCCTCCAAATGTCAAATGTTGCTTCAGAATTGACCTGCGTAAGCGCATGAATTAATGATTGGGAGTGAAGTAGTTGAACGCATCGACTCCTTCACTTATCTTGGGAGTTTCATCAGTACTGATGGTATGGCATCTGACGAATTTTCGACACGGATTCAGAATGCTCGAATGGCTTTTGCCAACTGGCATCACTTATGGCTCAAGCAGGATACCCGTCTTCCAAACAAGGGATGAATTTACTACCCAGTAGTTTGCTCCATCCTACGTTATAGGTGTAAAACATGCCTATTAGGAATAGCGGATAATCGCAGGTTACTAGTATTCGGTCAAATGTATCTTCAAAACATTCCTCATATATTTTGGAACCAAAGAATAAGCAATGTCTGGATTAGGAATAGGGTACTAGGTAAGATTGGTAAACCGACTGATGAGGTAATAAATTTTCATCAACTGAGGTGGTTTCAATGTGTTACGTATGTTAAAGGTAATCAAACGCCTAGAAGTAAAAATAGTAGCTAGACTGGATGGGATTAAATATCACAAGATTAAAAAGTTCAATTTCATCTCAGCATATAAAATTCTCATATTAGAATTAAAGTAGTAATGAACATTTTTATAAATATATCTATATCTATCAACACTTGAATGAATAATACGAATCAATTATAGTTATCTTAGAAAGAGGGAAAATAAAGATAATAAACTTACTTCCTTTAACACAACATTTAAGAAAGCTGACGGTGAAGGAACAGAAAAACGTCGAATTGTTAATCGGCTTAGTATGGATGCACTAAAACGTGGTTCAAATCCAATCTCAGGAATTGTAGACAAACCGAAAACAAAAGTTATTGGTAATGAACAAGAACGACCTCTAATCTGACCGGCCACATAAAGAGAAGTCAGCTCGATGAAATCACATAAAACCTGAACAGGGATGGATTCGATCTCTGTAAGAATAATGACTAGAGGTCTAAGTAACGACGAATTTTGTTTTAACTCAGAAAGCATTCCTGGTCCTGGAGATGATGATATACTGTCAGCTAGTTCGCTTTTTAAAGTGTTACTAACTTCATTAGAATGTAGACTACATCTCTGATTTCTTCTAGTTGGTGTGCTCAATCTAGGCGAGGCAACTGACATAGGACAAAGTTGATGTGATTTTTGAGATCTTGGTTGACTGGTACTACGTTGAGAACGAGAACGAGGTGTAGTTGGTGGTGCTAAAAAAAACAAAGAAATTTTAGCCATGAAATAAGGATAACTCTTACAAGTCAATATAACAAAAACTAGTGACCATTGAAACTCACCTGGTGTTTTAAATTCTGGATTACATTCAGGTACGCTGGAGCCACAGTATTTTTTCGTCTACAAAAGAATGTTTTAAAATCTTAAAATTAGAGGGAACTAAAAAATATGACCATTTATGACATAAAGTTTATCGATATAAGTAACTTCAGTCATTTAACTGATTCCGCATTCATTTTTAGTCTTCACTTAAACCCTAAGTCCTGGAATCATATACATTCTTTTTTATATCTATTTGTTTCGACGGATAACTGCTCTGAGATTTGTCTTGAAATAATTTTATTCCGCTATGTTAATATACAGAAACTAAATGATTACTACTGGAAGAATTGTTCTTGCTTCAATTAGCATTCAAACAAATCCCATTTACAATCATTTGATAACATACATTTTTATTTTCTTTATATACTACGTCACTTATCTACTCTCTTCTATTCTCACTTTGTGTATTCTAGTTTTCCAACTTGTACAGCAGCTCATCTACGGTGGAATTACTGTCCTATCTAAACGATCTCAAGTCATTGATTGGTTGAAAGTTTAATGCTACCACCGAATACGAATACTGAGACAGTTTTTCTGGAACCCTGTATACCATTCAAACTGGCTTCCTTCAACGTTCTCACACTAATGTAGATCGGACAATATTGGGTTGGCTGTGTCTTAAAGAAGTCTTAATATTGATGTGTGTTGTCTATCCGAGACTCGTAATCAAGACTTTAGTGAAGTACTACAAATTCGCTCTCCATCTGTCGTTTCGAAAAGCTTGTTTCATGTGCGTTTATCCAGGAACCCTGTGGCATCGTCTAATTTTGTTGGTGTTGGTTTCGCACTAAGCGCTAGATGTGAGGTAGCACTGACCGACTGGATCCCCATTAACAGTTGGTTGTGTTGTAAAATTAGAAAATTTCATCAGAATGCGAAGAAATCGGTGTAAGAAACGATATTTTTCCATCATCTCCGCCTATGCTCCGACAAATTGCAACCTGGAAGCGATCAAGGACGAATTTTGCCATTAGATAACTGTTCTTATACAGAAAATGCATCCGACAGATGTTGTAGTACTGGCCGGAGACATCAATGCTTAGGTCAGGTGTTTAGACATAGACACACACACGTCCCGCTTATAAGCACTGGGTTTCTACAGGTTCCTTACAACTCATTGAAGCACGTACGTCTACTCTGGGTAATCGTGAGTGTGACCATAAACGAAGGCTGTTACGTAATGAAATCGAGCAAAGCTTGCGTGAGGACCGAGAAGCCTGGTGGTCGGAACATACCAATGAGTTGGAAGCAGCAGCCGCATCTGGTAACTGCCGGAAGCTCTTCCAACTGGCAGTCACTAGCAGCAAGAAGTCTGGTGTGAGCGAAACAATCTGTGAAGATGATGCGATGCCGATCATTAACACCTATCGACGTCTTGGGTGATGGGGAGTTTTTCGAGGGGCAGTTCGACTGGTCTGCTGCCCCGGCAACATCAATCAGACTGTCCTTCCGTTCATGACCCGTAACGACTGATCCGCCTAACGAGGCGTGTCCCCAAGGAACCCCAACTCCTGAAGCGCGACACAATACCAGACCCAGATGACTTATCTCTAGTCCTTTTTAAAGATGATGGCGGCCTTCCGGATAGGGAACTGACTGAATTATTTGCAAAGGTCTAGCAATTAGAGTGTTTCAACATAGTGGAATGAGTCAATAGTTGTTCCTATCTTTAAAAAGGGTTCACGTCGTTTCTGTAACAACTATCAGGGGATAAGTCTACTTACGATGGCGTCCAAACTATTGGCCTTCAGCATGCTTCGCAGATTGTTCAAAACCTGAGAAATATTGACTCGCGAGGAGCAGGTTGGTTTTCGTTCCGGTCGAAGATGTAATGATCATATCTCCACCATCCACCAAATGTTAGAACACCGTCATACTTATTATAGGCCAAAAACCGTAGCGTTTCTTGACATCAGGGCTGCCTTCGATTCGTTGGATAGGACTGTTCTCTGGGATTGTCTATTGAAGAAGGGTGTGCCTGAGAAGTTTATTAACATCCTAAAAGCCCTATATAAAAACACCTCAGGCAGAGTGAGGGCATACAACCACCTCTCTCGATTGTTCCATTCAAGCAGTGGGATTAGGTAGAGTTTCTCAATCTCACCATTCCTCTACAACTGTGCCATCGATGACGTTTCTGGAAATAGCTCCGATGGATGTAGTTAAAGGTGGTGTGGATCTGTTTCTGTTGCCTGAAGTAGGACTTTCCGGCATTAAGTATGAGGATGATACTGCCTCCCTGTGAGATGATACGTAAGCCATGCAATCCGCACTTAATCAGTTCGCAGTCAGTGTCCGTAGGTATGGTATATGTTTTTCACCTTCCAAGTGCAAAGTACTTTTACAAAACTGGAAAGACCCTGAACCTGCATTCACCCTCGGTAGTGAGCGAATTGTAGTCGGAAAGTTCGTGCATCTGGGTAGCTGCATAAATGCTGGTGGTGGCGTGAGTGGTGAGGTCAATTTACGTACAGTGAAAGCCAGAGCAACATACGCCATCGTTGTCTCCGAAGGATTGCTGACATCCAGTGGCAACACCATGTTAGTAATGCAGAGGTTCAGCATCGTGTGTTTGGGCACAGAGACGATAATTCAGATGGTGTCACTATCTTGAAACATCGACCTAGGTGTCTTGGACATGTTCTACGTATGTCGTCCCAGAGAATTCCGCGTCGTGCATATCTTGAAGCATTGACTTCTGTGGCTCGGACATGTTCTACAAATGTCGTCCCACAGAATTCCGTCGTTCACTATTTACCGACGCTGGGACACGTTAAAAAACTGGAGAGGTGGTCAGTGTAAGACATGGTGTCGTAAAAGAGAACTGTACAGAACTGGCTTCTGTTGGTCTTTCACGACTCCCTGGTCAGGGTCCTAGAGGTAATGCAACACCGGCTGAAGACGTTATCCGATATGGTCCAGAACAGAAGCCAGTGACGATCCCTCTGTGTTCTCCCAAATTCTAATCTTCTGAATTCTTCATGTCCCTTTTTTCCTCTTTCCAAATTTATTTCACTGGATTATACTCTTTAAATAACATCTCCAAACCCTAATCTTCCCGATTACTGCTTATACTTTTATTACCTCTACCACTACGGGATTTGAATCGACAACTGCATCTCTGTGCTAATGTGGTGTGGCAACTCGAACTGATGTACGTACGTACGAAGTTCTACGTTGTTACTGACTGACTGACTGACTGACTTCTTTTACTTTCTTCATAAAAGTGAACGTAACTTTTTCCACTGAAAGAATTTTTTCTAGTTGAATTTTTATTAACTGAACTGCTTTTTTGATAATCATTATTATTATTATTTTACTCCCACACACTTATTTTTGGTCGTTGTTCTTCCTCTTCTTTATCATGCGCACTTTATCTCTTCAAAACCTCATTGTTATTGCGTGGCGCATACGTATTTGGTGCCCCCTTGTACCAATGTTTGAGTCCATATATAGTGTGGTAACTTGAACAGATCTGCAGATTTATCAGGTACTAAGTTGAACATGACTAACTGATTGGTCTAAAACCAGTGAATCAGTCAGTCAGTCGGTAACAACGTAGAACTTCGTACGTACGTACATCACTTCGAGTTGCCATACCACATCAGCACAGAGACAAAATCATCGATTCAAATCCCATAGTGGCAATAGTAAAAGTATAGGCAGTAATCGGAAAGATGTTATTCAAGGAGTATATTCCAGTCAAATAAATTTGGATCCAAGCTAAACTCAAGTTTCCAACTAGAAATTGGAAATTTACATTGTCTTCAGATAAATTGGACTAGACAAACGAAATGTTTTACTGCACGTAAAACAATGTATAGAAAATACTAATAACAACAACGGTAAATGGTAATGAACATAAGCAACCTGATTAATTATTTACTGAACACAAATTTATCACCATTTATTAGCTATAAAACTTCGATATTTGTGGTATAATGAAAAAAGGGGTAATCATTAAAGATGTTGGCCCACTTACTCCAGAGTAGTACCATTCTACCAAAGCCAAATACGAGGAACGTGTAGCCGAAGTGAAATTTTTCTATGCATAAGAAAAGGAACAATTTTAGGATAAATATTGGACAAGGAGCTTCAAGGTTTTTTCAAATACGTTATGGTTTAACACAGCTTAATGAAGTCAGAAATTAATCAACACTTAAGTTATTTAAAGATTAATTTCAATACTACATAATCCACAATGATCAGTTTGATTCCAATCAAGTGGCAGAATATTTGAATTAATTCGTAGATCTTGTACGATAATTTTCGATAATACGAACACTTGATATTTGTCAAACAGCAGATTCTGATCTTAAGTACTTGAAAGTGAGCGACAAGAAACCCTGGACCTGGGGGCTATACTAGTTAGTACTCGTCACCAAGGCGTGCCTGGAGTCTTGAAGGACTTTTTAAAGTTTCACACAGTTTCCATTACTGCTCTACTACAACCTTGAGGGGATTCATGCTCCTTATAGGACTCAGATCCACTTAACCCAGCTTCATAGACTGACACGTTACCGCCGAGATATTTGTCCCGCAAAAGGTTTTCAGTAACACTTGGATATCCACTTCGATTGAAAACTGAGTAGCAACTAACTTCATGTCCAGTCCTTATGGTTGATCGAGTTCTACCAATCAGGTTAAAGTGCGGCCACCAATCTAAGTGACTTGACATCATGTGAACTTTACCTTGATTTTAGATAATAGAAAATAGTCGGCAGGGGACTGTGTGGAGATTTATTCTTAGTTGATGTCCTACAGTAAGACGTTTTTATCATATTGAAAGGATGAGGGCCAGA